TGCACTACAAAACATCCTTAGCAAAATATTCAGAACAACAATGAAAATCAGCAAAGGGAGGTAAAAGCAAAAACTAATCAAAGGAGAAACCAGGTCAAGTTAAATACCAAAAATAAACAAAAATGGCAATACAAATCATGTGTATGATAATAATCAATAATCACCCTGAATGTTAATTGCCTAAGTTCACCAATCAAAAGACAGACTGGCAGATTTTATTAAAAAAAAAAACAAACAACAATATGCTGCCTCCAAGAAACTCATTTTATAGGAAAAGACATCCACAGACTAAAGGTGAAAGGTTGGGAAAAATCATACCACTCACATGGACTGCAGAAGCAAGCAGGGGTTTCCATCATCATCATCAAATAAATTAGACTTTAAGCCAACGTAATCAAAAGGGATTAAGAAGGACATTTCATATTGCTTAAGGGAACCATTCATCAACAAGACATAATAACAACAACAAAAATTTATATGCCCCAAACAATGGAGTGTCTACGTTCATCAAACAAACTCTTCTCAAGTGCAAGAGTCAAATAGACCACAACATAATAAATCAGGGAGACTTTAACACACCTCTTTCACCTCTGGATAGATAGTCCAAACAAAAGCTGAACAATGAAACTATAGAACTCAATAATACAATTAATAACTTAGACTTAATTGACATATATAGAATATTTCATCCTTCAATTCACTTTCTTCTCAGCAGCACATGGATCCTTCTCTAAAATAGACCATATATTATGCCACAAAGCAACTCTTAGCAAATATAAAAAAGTAGAGATACTAACCTGCAATCTATCAGATCATAATGGAATGAAATTAGAAATCAATGATAAAATAAGAAATAAAAGTTACTCCAATATCTGGAGAATAAATAATATGATATTGAATGAATAATGGGTTGAAAAAGACATCGAAGAAATTAAAAAATTCTTAGAGGTGAATGAGAACACAAATACAATGTATCAAAATCTCTGGGATACTATATAGGCAATACTAAGAGGAATAGAATTCATTCCTCTTAGTATTTCATGGAGTTCATTCCTTAAAAGAAGAAAAAAATAAACAAATAAATGACTTAACATTATATCTGAAAGTCCTAGAGAAAGAACAAATCAACACCAAAGCAGTAGAAGACAGGAAATRATTAAAATCAGAGCTGAAATCAATGAAATTGAAACAAAAGAAACAATTGAAAAAATGGACAAAACAAAAAGTTGGTTCTTTGAAAAAACAAATAATATTGACAAATCCTTAACTATGCTAATGAAGAGAAGGAAAGAGAAAAYTCAGATTATCAATATACATGATGAAAAAGTAAATATCACAACAGATACTACAGAAATATAGAAGATAATTAGAAATTATTTTGAAAACTTATACTCCAATAAAATAGAAAATATTGAACACATTGACAGACTTCTAGAGTCATATGATTTGCCCAAATTGAATCAGGATGATATACACAATTTAAATAGATCAATTTCAAGCGATGAAATAGAAGATGTCATTAGAGGCCCACCACCCAAGAAAAGCCCAGGACCAGATGGAGACATAGCCGAGTTCTACAAGACCTTTAAAGAAGAACTAATACCAATACTTTTCAAGTTATTTCAGGAAATAGAAAAAGAGAGAGCACTTCCACACTCATTCTATGAGGCCAATATCACCCTGATTCCAAAACCAGGCAGACACATCAAAGAAAGAAAACTTTAGACTAATATCTCTAATGAACATAGATGCAAAAATTCTCAAAAAAATTCTGGCATATCAAATATAAAAACATAGTGCACCATGTTCAAGTGGAGTTCATCTTAGGGATGCAAGGTTGGTTCAACACACAGAAATCAATAAATGTAACTCATCACATCAATAGACTTAAAGATAAGAACCATATGATCATTTCCATACACACAGAAAAAGCATTTGACAAAATACAGCACTCCTTCATGTTCAAAACACTAGAAAAACTAGGGATAATAGGCACATGTCTCATTTTAAAAGCTATCTATCTGTGCTAAGCCCCAGACCAATATCATTCTAAATGGGGAAAAAAATTAATGCATTTTTTTTCTAAAAACTGGAACAAGACAGGGAAGCTATCTTTCACCATTTCTGTTTAACATAGTTCTTGAAACACTGGCCAGAGCAATTAGATAACAGAAGTTAAAGGGATACAGATAAGAAGAACTCAAATTAGTACTATTTGCCGATTATATGATTCTATACCTAGAAGACCCAAAAAATTCTACCAGAAAACTTCTAGAACTAGTAAATGAATTCAGCAAAGTAGCAGGATACAAAATCAACACTCATAAATCAGTGACAAATCCTCTGAAAGAGAAACGAGGAAAACTACCCCATTTACAATAGCCTCAAAAAAAAAAAAAATACTTGGGACTCAACCTAATAAAAGAGACAAAAGACCTCTACAATGAAAACTACAGAACACAATAGAAATTAAAAAAGACCTTAGAAGATGGAAAGATCTCCCCTTGTTCTTGAATAGGCAGAATTAATATTGTCAAAATGACCATACTACCAAAAGTGTTAGACAGATTTAATGCAATTCCAATCAAAATCCCAATGACCTTCCTCATAGAAACAAAAAAAAGCAGTCATGAAATTCATCTGGAAAAATAGGAGACCCAGATAGCTAAAGCAGTCCTTAGCAAGAAGAGTGAAGCAGGAGGCATCACTATACCAGACCTTAAACTACACTACAGAGCAGTAGTAACAAAAACAGCATGGTATTGGCATCAAAATAAACTGGTAGACCACTGGTACAAATACAGGACACAGAGAGCCTAACCCACATAATTACAGTTATATTAGACAAAGTCACCAAAAATATACATTGGAGAAAAGATAGCCTCTTCAACAAGTGGTGCTGGGAMAACTGGAAATTCATATGCAACAAATGAAATGAAACCCCTCTCACCATGCACAAAACTCAACACAAAGTGGATCAGGAACCTAGGAATTAAACCAGAGACCCTGCATCTAATAGAAGAAAAAGTCAGCCCAAATCTCCATCATATTGCTTTACTTCCTTAACAAGAATACTAAAGTGCAAGAAATAACATCAAAAATTTGTAAATGGGATGGACTTAACTAAAAAGCTTCTTCTCAACAAAAGAAACAATCAATGAGGTGAACAGAGAGCCTTCATTTTAGGAGCAAATTTTTGCCACACACACATCAGAGCACTAATCTCCAGGATACATAAGGAACTCAAAATACTTAACACCAAAAAACCAAACAACCCAATCAGTAAATGGGCTAAAGAGCTGAACAGACACTTTTCAGAAGAAGATACATTCAATCAACAGATATATGAAAAAATATTCAACATTTCTAGTAATTAGAGAAATACAAATAAAAACTACTCTTAAGATTTCATCTCACTCCAGTCAGAATCTGGAAAGCAGTATGGAGATTCCTTAGAAAACTTGAAATGGAACCACCATTTAACCCAGCTATCCCATTCCTCAGGATATATATATATTTCCCAAAGGACTTAAAAACAGCATACTACAGTGATGCAGCCACATCAATCAATGTTCATAGCAGCTCAATTCACAATAGCTAAACTGGAAGCAACCTAGATGCCCTTCAATAGATGAATGGGTAAAGAAACTGTGGTGTATAAACACAATAGAATATTACTCAGCATTAAAAGAGAATAAAATTATGGCATTTGCAGGTAAGTGGATGGAGTTGGAGAATATCATACTAAGCGAAGTAAGTCAATCCCACAAAACTGATAAGTAGGTGCAGATCCATAATGGGGATGGGGGAGGCATGGGAAAAGTGGAAGAACTTTGGGCAAAGGGGAGGAAGGCAAGGGAGGATGCATGGGAGCAGGAAAGACAGTGGAATGAGATGGACATCATTACCCTATATGACTGCACATTATGGTGTGATGCTATATTTTGTACAACCATAGAAAGGTAAATGCATTCTGCTGTCATATATACCTAATTAAAATAAATAAATAAGGTTAAAAAAAATCCTCCCAAGTGCAGATCACTTTCATTTGGTCATTTGGTTAGTTTTGTAAATTCATTTGGTATAGTATTAAAAGATGTCCTGGTTCGGAGGTTTTGCTCCGTGGTMGAACATTCATACGGCATGTATGACATGCTGGATCCCTAGCACCACATGGGGAAAAAAAATGACATCCAAATCCTGTTCTGAAGTTGATAGAAATTTTTACATATGAAAATTGAAGTTAAATCTGTATTGCATCATATCCTAATGTACTTTAAAGCAGAAGGCAGTCTTGGCCAAGGTACTAAAAGGTTGTAGAATCCTAATTTAYTTAATATTTGTTTCTCTGAGAACTGCCACTCTGTCAGCAACTTGAGTCTGTAGCATAAAAGCCATATTCACCACAAATGATTTTATTTTGAAGATTGTTTCAACAGAATGCCCTTGTTATATCCTACAAAGTGGGTCAGAAAAGTAGGGAAGGGAATTTATTTCTATTGAGGCAGTTTTTGAGCAAAGTAGGTCAGTTTGCATTTCTGTGCATAGCTGGACAGTGTCTGTGGGAGCGTCTCTCTGCATCTGTGTCCTCACATCAGCATACTTTCTAGCCTGGTCACTTTCCCCCTTCACTARACTGGCACACAATGACTCCAGACATTCTTATCTGTCTCCTCTCATTCCCTGAGCACTATAAAATCCATGTCTTATTTTAGTCAGGTCTTCATAAAATCACAGGATTCTGGGATCCATACTGAGAATATAATTATGAAATATTTGGAAATCACTGTTGTAAGCAATAGCTTGTGTTGTGAAGAAGTCTGCTGTTCTGAGAGAATTAAGTGTTACATATTTCCAGAGGGCAAAGTGTAAAAGGAAGATATTGACTTTATTCTTTGAAAAGCTGATACTACCCTGACTAGTATGGTGTATGAGTTGCTTTTAGCAGCAGCCAGAGATAGAGCTAACCCTCCTGATGCTCATTGCTGTTTGTTTTCTAGGTCAGCAAAGCAGCATGTATTCTCACCACTCAAACCCTAATGAGGTTACTAAGGTCCCGAGAAGCAGCAGCAGCTGTGGATGTGAAAACCTGGCCAGCCATCATTGACACAGGTAAAAGGGAGATTTCTCCTGAGCTGTCATGGGAGCTAGAACATTTACTGAGATTTCCTAGATCCTGTGCCAAACACATTGACATAGCTTTTATGGCACACATTCCATCTGCTAAGATAGAGGCAAAAACCTAGGATCCAATTAGCCTAAAGTACTCGGCAGTGTAATAACCAGGCACCGAGAAGTTACTCTTGGTATCATTGAAAGTTCATTAGGTTTTTATGCCGGATGTGATCCATTATTTTTCCATGTATGGCCATGTAAAATAGTGAGATGATCTGATCCATGATTTTCAGGTGTGATATAGTTGAAACAATATCGTACAAGGAATCAGAAAACCTGGTTTCTGGTTAGAGCTTTATTATTTCCTGTCTAACCTTGAAATTACTCTTTTCTAAAATACTGCCTACCCCTACTTGACTCACATTTATTGAGAAAATMAAATAAGATATAATATGAAAATAGGTTGAAAACCACAATATGCATGAATTTTAAGTGGTATTCATATTAAAGGGGGTAAGACCCAGGAATAGATAGAAAATCAGTGGAATAGGGAAGAGCATGGGTTTTGAACTCAGCCACTTTAAAAATTCTCACGTCTTTGCTACTCTCTGAGTATTCTTAACTAACCTAGATAGAACTGACTATAAAATGGGAGTTGTAAAGATTGAGTGATGTAAAATACCTAGCATAGAATCATAATGATAACATCTGTTACTGAGCCTTTTTTATGTGTCATTCACTTAACACATTACCTAAATTTATCCTTACTCTAATCCTTTTAGCTGGCTGCTACATTTGTTTGTTTGTTTTAAGTACCAGGGAGTAAGCCCAGGGGACTTAACCACTAAGCTCCATCCCCAGCCTTTTTTTTTTTTTTTCTTTGAGATAGGGTCTTGCTAAGTTGCTGAGGCTGACTTTTAACTTATGATCCTCCTGCCTCAGCCTCCTGAGTACCTGGGTTTATAGGTACACACCTGTAAATTACCAATTCTGAATTACCATACCTGGCTTTTAGGTGGCTGCTRTTTTTACCCTCATTTCAAAGATAAGACAACCAAAGCACAGGGAAATTAAGAAAACTACAGAAGTGAAATGCAGACCTGGCCAGTTTGGCTTATTGCCCACCTCTTAACCATTAATTTCCTCCTACCCCGTTTTCATAAAGTACTTTATAGTATCTACGTCCACAATATTTATATGGATTTAAATGCAGAGATGATAGTATTTGTGATTATTGTGTGCCAGATGCTGAGCTAGATTTTATATTTGTTATTCAAAGGCAGAAGCACAGTCGTATATAACCCAAATGGTATATATTATTTGTGTTGTTATTAATGATAACAAACCTTTGTGCTGTGGTAATGGACTCAGTGACATTGCAGGAAGACCTAAAATATGGGCTGTGGGTACAGACAAGAGTAAGGTTTCTTTTAGGTACATGAATGGTCATGAGTGACTCAACCTTACAMAATGGTAGGTCAAAGGTGATGGATAGAGAAAGTTTTTGGTCTGACCAGAAATGGGCACCCATGACATGGAGATTTAAAACTCAGGATTTTTTCTTTTAGGACATGGACATTGAATGGTTGGGTCACAGACATCCTTGGGGTTGACATACTCATAAAATGGGGGAATTATCATAAATGAGAAAAAAATTACCAATTCTAAATTACCAGTCTTAAAGTCTTCCAGGTAAACTTGGAGGAAAACCGTCCAACTTTTAAATCTTCCCGTGATTAATAGAACATGCACTAAATTGTAAATAATGAACTTTAATTGGAAACCAGCATATCAACAACTAATGCTTTTTGAGCATGCACTCAGTCATTTGTTGTCTTTAATGTGTTTTGTGTGAATTAACTTCCCAACAGTTGTTCATTTAAAGAAGAGGAAAACAGACACAAAGGCCACATAGCTGAGAAAAATAGAACCAGGATTTGAACACAGCAGTATGCTTCTTACTAAACTTCTGTTAAATAAATTGACCTGATGTAGATTTACTTGTTGTATTTAGATTGTCTAATGTTGTCCTCAACCCCAACCTGTCTCAGAGAGGCTTGGTTAAAAATGAGAAGCCCGGGCTTTTCAAATTCCAGAAGCAAAATTCAACCATAGCAAAGCCACAGAAAACCAGTTGAAGAGCAATAGTTTTCATGTTCCAGCATGTCTGATTGATGGTTTTTCTTTTCATTGCAGATGATTTACCCAGGAAAAGGTTACCTCAGCTGTATAAACCACCTACACCTGAGATGTTGGCATATCTTGATTTTAGTGTCTCCACAACTGGCATGCTTACAGGAGTGAAGGTAAAATTATTTGGGTGTATTCAGTCACTCATCAAAGTCTGATGATATGCCAGACCACAGAAAAAGAGATGACCACTGTCCCAGAGACTTTAGATGTAGAGGCCAACTGGTAGAACCAGAGGCCAGTAGGTGGAGGATCAAGGGTCCCTTCTATATTTAAATAAAAGCATCGGCTCTTCCGGAAAACATTATCTCAAGGAATTTGGATTTTGAAGTGTCTGAACCTAGCATAGATCCTAACAAATAATCAGATTCCTCATTAAAGTCAGTAAGCAGTTGTAAGTTCACATATAAAATGCAGTATTAACTATTGAATAGAAATGTGATGTCTAATTTAGATTTAGGTTAAACTTTAAGGAAATAAAAAATAGATCATTTGATGAGTTTGGGGAATTTAAACTTTTCAAAGCTGTGTCTCTGCCTGTGGGATGCCAGTTCCATCCTATTCCATGTTCCTTACTTTGCAGATGTCCCACTCTGCAGTTAATGCTCTTTGTAGAGCCATCAAGCTCCAGTGTGAGTTGTATTCTTCTCGGCAGATCGCCATCTGCCTTGACCCTTACTGTGGACTTGGCTTTGCACTCTGGTGTCTCTGCAGGTAGGGATGAAAAAGCCAAAGAAATAGAATGTATGGGGTATACTTGGAATATAACAATCTTCTTCTTTCTTTTGCTCCCCTAAATTCTATAATGTTTCAGTAAAATGCTGATGTTTCTAGAATTTATGCACCTTTTCTGTATCTGACGTTTGTTTAGTTTTGTTTGTATTTTCCCCTTTCCGTTCTATTAGTTTGTTTTAGTATTGGGAATTGACACATCAGGGCCTCGCACGTGCTAGACAAGTGCTCTACCACCGAGCTACATCCCCAGTCCTTTTTATTTTTTATTTTGAGACAGGGTCTTTCCAAGTTACCCAGGTTGGCTTTGACTTGTAATCCTCCTGCTTCAGCTTTCCTAGTTGCTGGAATTACAGGCATGCACCACTGAGTCCAACAACTTCTGTTAGATTTTTGCCTCGTACAAAATGGCAGTGATCTCGTTACCTGTTCTCTGCTCCATCCTGCAATTCTTGTTTTAGAAACAGAGCCAAATAAAAGGATGACTCTTGGATGAAATATGACATGTTTTGACAGCCAGAATATACCCCCTAAGCTTGGCAGGAAGGAATATGATGGGATAGGATGACAGCATGTGGCTGGAAAGTGGCATGTTTGCCCTGGGCAGATTGCTTCTTGAGAAATAGCAGGTCCCATCTTCCACCATCTGCCCAGAAAACCTTATCTCAGACCTGCATCTTCACCTTCTGGGTTGACATTATGAATCTTCAAAAATGCCTGTAACATTCTCCTTCTACATGCCCATCTTTGTTAGGGTAGGTTTGTCTAMTATGGTGCCCAAAATAGGAACTTGAGCATTATTTTCAACTTCTATATCTTTATGCCTCACATCTAATGAAATATTCTTTCCTTTGGCTCAGTTATTCCTGTGCCTTTGTGTGTAGCACTGGCACATACTTGTAATCCCAGCATCTCAGGAAGCTGAGGCAGGAGAATCACAGATTTGAAGCCTTCCTCAGCAACTTAGTGAAACCCTGTCTCAAAATAAAAAATATAAAAAGGCTGAGAATGGCTCAGTGGGTCACAACTGGATTCAATCCCCAGTATACCCCAACACACACAAAAATAATAAGAATGACTATTATTATTATTATTATTAGTGTTATTTTTATTATTATTTCTGGGTCTTTCAGAATTAAAAACAGCTCCTTTTGTGGCTCATAATTGTGATGACTGGGTTTTCACACCATTGTTTGAGATATGCCTCCCTCAAATCTAGTTATGACATTGGCATATTCCCTATCTGTTGTGGAAAAAATAATTAATAAGGATTACCCAGACCTAATAACTTCAGTCTCTAGAGGTAGCAATCACAAAAATGCAGGATTCCTAAGCTCCTAGTGATTCTGATCTAGATTATATATATGATATGTGACTCTGCCATTCCTTTCTTTTATTCTGACTTCAATGTCAGGGTTCAGGCCCACATTATCCTTTACCTTCACTATTGCTGTAACTACTTCTGTCTCTCAATTTCAATGGTTCAAGTCTCCCATCCCTACTCCCGAGTTGCTGGTTTTGCCCCAACTTAAAGCCACACTTTTAAAAGTAAAGACTGACTTTCATCATAAGACAGTTAAGCTCTTTTATAGTTTGGCCCCTGCTCTTTTGGCCTCACTTTCCCCTTGTACCCTGTGCTCTAGGATTTCCCTAGAATGCTATTTCTTTTTTTTCTTTTGTTTGTGGTATGCGGATTGAACCCAGGGGCACTTAACYGCCGAGCCACATTTCCATTAATAAAAATTAATTTTTTATTTTGAGACAAGGTCTCACTAAGTTACTTGCCAAGTCTAGCTTTGAACTTGGAATTCTCCTGCCTCAGCCTCCTGAGTCATTGGGATTATAGGTGTGCAGCACTGTGCCTGACTAGAATGCAATTTCTGACAGCTTTACATACTCCATATTTCTTTGCCTTTGCATATGCTTTTTTTCTGCATGAAATATACTGCCCCTGTTCTCACTCACTCCCAGCCACTCAAATTCCTACTCCTTTAAGCCCCAGCTCTAGTRCTACCTACTCAGTGAACCCTACCACCTCTGCCCCAGCTTTCTTAGCGTGAATGAATTGTTCTTTATTTTGTGAACTCTGTGCCCTTTATTCACATCTGTTATCACACCTATTATAGTCTGCTTTATTTTATGATTACTGTATCTTGTGAATTGCAAGGGAATAAGGTTGATTCTTAGATCTTCAATCTAATGCGACCCCTCTATTATCCTTCCCACTTATTAAATATTTGCCAAGTTTATGACATTTTGAAACATCTTAGGATGAATTGATAATATCAGCTTTTGCCTTTCTTCATTACAGTGTCTATTCAGGTCACCAATCCATCTTAATTCCTCCTATGGAGTTAGAAAATAACCTTTTTCTCTGGCTCACTACTGTCAACCAATACAAAATAAGGGACACTTTCTGCTCCTACTCAGTAATGGAGCTTTGCACTAAAGGATTGGGAAACCAAGTGGAGGTGCTAAAGGTAAGAAGTAACTACCACAAGTAACCAGTTTTAAGAGATTTTTAAAATAAGGGGCCAGGGCATGCTAATACCAGAGTAAGGGTTAGCAGACATATTTACCTGTTTCTAGCCAGACAATTAATGGATATTTTGTAAACTTTAAGAAGTTTAACCCTTCTTACTTCCTAATTTAGTGTATACTTTCAGAGTCTAAYGTGGGTCTCTGTGGAGAAGGCAAAACTGATTGAAAGATAAAAGGGAACTATGACCTCCCATAGAATTTTCCCAATAGAATTTAAAACCTCAGAATATGAGAGATTGGAGACTGTCCCGCAGCTAAAGGTAGCTCATTTATGTGTGTATACAGTGATTATATTTCTGTCATATGAGAAAGTTGGAAAATACTGAATTTTCTTTGAGAAGTATRACTTCAAGAATGAAAAAGAGACAAAAGGTTAGATATCCAAAGTTCTAGATTTATTTTTCTCTTAGTCCCAGAAAATAGGAAGAAATCTAAGGTTCAAAAATGAGAAAAGATAGAATGTATTACTGAAAAGTCTAAGATTTTTAGATAAAAGAGGAAAGAAATAGAGAATGAGCAGATTTACATGTGAGTAATGATTTTAATGGAATGTTTGTATTTTCTTCTTTTCTAAAAGCTGTTTTTTTTTTCTGTGTGTATGGGCCAAGAAAATAGTTCCTCGGATTTTCCTGACCAAAGAGAGAGCAGTGATTCTACCTATTCAGTTCTCTTCTGATCCTACTAACTCAGCTTATGGCATGGGTATCTTACAGACAAGGGGGATTAACCTCTCCTGCATCCGGACCTGTGTGGTGGTGGCAGAGGAGCGCCCCCGCATTGCCCTCCAGCAGTCCTTCTCCAAGCTCTTTAAAGACATTGGTCTGTCCCCTCGAGCCGTCAGTACCACTTTTGGATCAAGAGTCAATGTAGCAATATGTTTACAGGTGAGGTCAAAATCTAGTATGCTAGGGACTGAGGTTGTGGCTCAGCGGCAGAGCGCTCGCCTAGCATGTACGAGGCCCTGGGTTCGATCCTCAGCACCACATAAAAATAAATAAATAAAATAAAGATATTGTGTCCTACTAAAAGCTAAAATTAAAAAAAAAAAATCTAGTATGCTAGCAAACAAAGAAGGAATGTGAGGTGCCCCAAGCATARGGCAGACTGCTAAGCTTGAGCCCTAGTTCAGCTCACTTGCTGTTGGACTTTGGGCTTTTTATTTTGCCCTCTCTTTGTTTCATTTTTCTCTTTGTAAAATAAAACAACAATCTCATACTTCACAAGGTTTTTGCAGAATCAAAGGGTTAGTAGGTCAGAGCATTTAGAGTGGGCCTGGCAGACGGGCACCAGTGTAAATGCTTACTCTTGGTAGTAGTGATGTGGTCTGTGATGATRAATCAAGAAACTCTCAGTCCTATTTGGATTTTATTTATCTGTCTTCTCCATATTTTGCACTTTTCCCCCATTGAAAACAAAACACAAATAAGCCAGTATTCTCCTTTTCAGTCAGATGGCAACTTTGCCATGTTGTTCTTGGGGGTGAATCATAGAAAAGGGACCAAAACTGATTTTATGCAATTTGGAGGCTAAAAAGGCAAATATAGGCATGGACAAGAATGAGAGTAAAAGGGATATGCAGATGGATACTTTTGGGTTTTCTCTGACTGTAGTCATGTGACTTTCAGGAAACATCATGGTGCTTTCACCTTGCAGCCCCACCGAGGACCCTTACTATCAGCTGTGGCAGTATTGATTTTGAAAATCCATGGGATGGTGGCTTCTCTCATTCCTGCTTGGAGCCCAGGGGTGGAAATCCTCCTCAGCTTGATAATGTTTCAGTTCTGCTATAATCTGTGGTGAAGGGAGGGCAGGAGGCCTCCTAGGGAAGGAAAGGGAAAAAAAAACTTCAGGAAGTAGTCTTTTCCACCCTGCCTCACTTGGTTGAAGAGAAAGTAGCTTTTAAAATAGAGTGGACGACCAGGAGTGGTAGTGCAGACCTGTAAATCCCAGTGACTTGGAAGGCTGAGGTAGGAGGATCATAAGTTCAAGGCCAGCTTCCGCAGCTAATGAGAAAATTTTTAAAAATGTGGGAGAGCTGAGGAGGGAGGGAGGAGGATGAGGAAAAAGGGAAATACTAGGGAATAAATGATATTGCCCAAATTATATGGTTATATCATGTGCATGTACAAATATACAACAATGAATCCCATTATTATAATGCACCAATAAAGAAATGGAATAAAGAGAGAAGCTAAGGATTTCATGTGACTGAGCAACCCTGGGTTCAATACCCAGTATTGCAAAAAATATTTAAATAAAGAGTGCGTGCCTAACATGTACAAGACTCTGGGTTCAATTCCCAGCATGTCAAAAAATAAAATTAAAAAAAGAACAAATTATAGATATATAAAACATATATATGCACCCACATAATTTGCTTTTTATTTTCTATATATAAAATTTTGCTTTTTAATTTTACACATATATGTAAATAATAAAATAGAGGGGGTGTTTTGTGCATATGGCTGAATTATCTATTTCTTTTCTTTCTGTTTTTGATTACCTATTTCTTGATTTGGAAATGTGAAGTAAGGAAAAGGTGGCTCATTTAAATTTTAAATAAACTGCATTGATTTGTTTTTCTTTAGGGAACCTCAGGGCCTGATCCAACTACTGTATATGTAGATCTGAAATCGTTAAGACATGACAGGTACGTAGGATTGATTATTCTTAGGAAATCTAATAGGGAAAGAACACAAAGAATTMTGATCCTCAAAGCCAGCATTTCCCTTCTTTCCTTTTATATTTGTATCTCCCAGTAGCAGCATGGGAAGAAATTCATTTTTATTATTTATTCACAGTAAGATTTTCATTTATAAAAARAAAGCTTTAATTCTCACAGTGGTTGCACTATTCTTTAATATTAAAATGTAATGCTTTTTGCCTGTGTAAAAATACTTTGTGACTGATATAAATTAAACTAAAATGTATAGTCTCTTTCCTCTGAAAGTCTAAAAATAAAAAAGATAGGATAAGGCATGATAAATGAGGCAGAGTTGGGTTTTTGAAACAAGACTTTACCTGAACCCCATGGGTGAAGACCTGCCATCTTCTACTCACTGTATAAGGAAATTTTAGTTCTGTCTCAAGGTGAGCACTGGACAGGACTCCTAGACCTTTTCCCAGGCCCCACTGGTGCATGTTCCCTGGTGTGTCTCAGGCAAGGACCCAACCTGCACAGGTGGCAGGCCTCTCTTAGGCAGCATTCTTACCCTAGGAGATTTGCCCCTCACCCCAAGGACATTTGACARTGTCTGGAGATGTTTTGGGYTGTCAAGAAAAGGGTTGCTACTGACATCTAGTGGGTAGAGGCCAGGGATTGTTGTTAAACACCCTGCAACAAAAATTATGTGAACCAGAATGTCAGTAGTGCTGAGTTAGAGAAACCCTGCCCTTGAAGGAGGAGAGACCAATGAGGGGTCATGGGAAGGTAGTAGATACAGTAAAATCATTTTTTAGAGATGCTTGAATACATTAACCACTGTTCCTCTGCAGGGTTCGTCTTGTGGAACGGGGTGCTCCCCAGAGTCTGCTGCTCTCAGAGTCTGGAAAGGTACTTTCTCCTGCTAAATTGTTGAGATGGTGGGCCTTGTGACAAGGTGGGTCACTCTAAAGAGACTTGAAGCCAAGTGAAATACTTGTATCAAAGGCAAGACTTATTTGAAATCTGCAAATAATTCCGACAGTTTCATCTTAGCTAATACTTTGAAACTCACATGGGTACATAAACAAGGATGCTGGACCTTCTGACTTTACATAAATTTTTTAAAAATCCAGTGGAAATGTTATTTTTATTGGCAAACCAGCAAAATGGAATGTTCATTATATACAAGGTGGATAGAAGAACAAAGCTTAAAAACAGCCAGGTCTTCTTTATAAATATTAAAGTTGAAAGAAAAGTCAGAGTGGAGAAGAGATTAAACATACTGGAGTGTGCACCCCATAGGGTAAGGTTTCTTGGTTAAAGTGAGAATTTATACGTGGAAGACAGTTTTGTTCACTAGGGGCTCGCTCTGTATGATGTGTCAGTCCCATGGGAGCTGACTCTGATTTCTCTCTGCCCCTGTGAACTCTCACAATGGCATGGGGTCAGTATTGCCTCATCAAATCTGTGTTTGCCACAGTCCAGAGTTAAGCATGCCACTGGAACAAGAATGAGTGCAGGTCCCGGCCCAGGTTAAAGAGAGTAGTTTTCTTCTCTTCCTTCCTCAAGGTTTTAGATATTTGAGTCCAAATAATCATAGTAGGGTTTCTGGAGTAACTTCAGACTATAGAAAGCCAACACAAAAAAAGAGATTGAAGAATGGGGTTGTGGCTCAGTGGTAGAGCGCTTGCCTAGCATGTGAGGCACTGGATTTGATTCTCAGCACCATATATAAATAAGTAAAATAAAGGTCCATTGACAAATTAAACAAATATTAAAAAAAAAAWAAGAAAAGAGATTCAAGAGGGCAGGAACAGGTGACCAGAGAGATCTTTCTTTTGGTAAGCTCTGAGCCATTCTTTTAGCCGGCCCCTGTTTCTTCCTTTTTGTCTTGCGGAAGACCCCGGCACGTAAGGATCTCTTTCATAATTCCAGGAACATGGATGTCTTTTTGTTCCTCTGTAAAACTGACCTCATGCTGTCCTCTCTTACTCATGCAGTTCCCCTCACTGTAGCCCTAGCTGATGGCTGCAGTGGAGTCTCTCAGACTATCCCTCCCTGCTCTTAGAGTTTCTGTTTTACGGGGTTTATACTGTCCTTCCTGTGAACTAGACAGATCATGAAAAAGGGAGGTTATATGCTTAAGTTATTCTACAGAATCTTGTTGGTGGTCCTGGTCAGCAGTTTCTCATTCCTCTAAAGAGATAGTAGACTGGTTCCCTGTCTTAATTTATTTTTTATATAAGATTTTTTACTATTTTTTTAGTTGTAGGTGGACACAATGCCTTTATTTTTATTTATTTTTATGTGGTGCTGAGGATCAAACCCAAAGCCTTACCCACGCTAGGTGAACACTCTAACTATGAGCCACAACCCCAGCCCCTCTCTGTTTTATTTTTGAGGGTAAATCTTATTAGACTTCTGGTCTCACCTGAGCTGAGGAAGATTCAGTTGGAGCAAAACAGAGGATGTCCCCAGTTAACCCCTCAGGTCAGGTACTTCAGTGATGGTTACTTCCATCAGCTTCTCCTATTTTTGCCACTCCCACATCACCAGCAGGTCATGGCACATTTCCTAGGGGTCATTAGATTTACTCAAACCCAATGTTTGTATTTTCCCTTTGATTCTTAGATTTTACCTGGAGTGAAAGTGGTTATTGTTAATCCTGAGACCAAAGGGCCTGTTGGAGACTCTCACCTGGGTGAGGTAGGTATTCCTTTTATTTTTTACTCTGGAAAGTCAGTAGCAAAAGACTTTAGAGTTCACGTTTCTAAAAGCTAGTGAAACTGTGGACTTAACTTCCTTCATTGTGAATAGTTCATTTTCTATAAGCCAGGAGTCTGAAGTAAACAGAGAGGGGAGATTGAGATGAGATCTAGTGAAGATTTAGGGCTAGGGATATAGCTCATTGTAAAATACTTTGTCTAGTTATGTGCAAAGCCCTGGGTTCAATTTCTAGTGGGGGGGGAGGGAGGGAGGGGGAGAGAGAGAGAGAGAGAGAGAGGAAGAAGGAGGAAGAGGAGGAGGAGGAGGAGGGGGGGGAGGAGGAAGGAGGTGGAAGGAGGAAGAGGGGGAGGGAAAATTTAGGTTCCCAAACTAGATGTTATCCCAGATCTGTCCACTGTCATTCTATTAGCTAGAAAGGAAATTGCAAATCCTATTTGTTCCCACGTATTAAAGGCTGGAAATGAAAGGAGCCACATATATAAAGTTAAAAAATGTATGCAAGTGTTGTATTCTAAAATATATCCATTTTAGTGTTTTAATAAAAATATTCAAAAACACTTTTCTTCCCCCCAAAACTTTGAGGGACACTAATGTTTGATCTTATAGTTTAGTGGAAAGAGTCTTGTAACTGCAGAAGCCAGATGAGCTGGGCTTCACCAGTTATGCTTTTCAACACTGAGCGAGTTAGTTCTCTCTGGGTCTCTCCCCCATTTATAAACAACTTACCTCAATAACAAAGGAGAATCATGATAGTTAATGCAAAAAGTGTCTATCTCATAATTCTCAATAAATAATAGCAGCTATTATTATCATGGTTGTCAGCTTTTGCTGTTCACAATGTCCTGTGGTATCTCCCTGAGGGCTTTGTACCATAGTTATACCAGAAGCACAGCGATGGCTGCTTGGTACAGTTGTGGTACTCTGGAAGCATGTGAGAAGTGAGCCAGAGAGGCAGTGCAGCCCCCAGTACCAGCCAACTCTAGTTTTTCCTCTTAGGTAAATTACTCAACTCCTTGTTTTTTCATCTGTAACACGGGGATAATAATAGTGTGACCTATATTGTCACATCCTATATGTCAGGATCATCAGAAATCAGGCATATATTGTTTGCCAACTGCCCTTATTACTGCAATTGTGTTACTAATATGAAAATGAGATTTTGCAAAATCACAAAAATCTGTCCTAGAAAAATTGAATTGATATAGTTGTCTATTCCTGTTGAAATGTGACCACTGCCCTTTTCTTGTAGATCTGGGTGAATAGTCCCCATACAGCTAGTGGCTACTACACCATCTATGATAGTGAGACTCTTCAAGCTGATCATTTCAACACTCGCCTCAGCTTTGGGGATGCTGCTCAGACACTCTGGGCTCGGACAGGATACCTTGGGTTTGTCCGCAGAACTGAGCTCACAGCAGCCACTGGAGGTATCTTCCACCACTCACTTTTCCCCATTTGAGTTGTTTCATTGGCTGGCTTCCTTCCACCTGTCTGAGTAGTATGAAGTGTATTTAATTGTCCCCGTCAATGCCTCTTGAACCCATAAGTGAATTTATATGAATTTATTCATTTGAGGTAACACTGCTCTCTGAAGTGTCTGGGAAGGGAGCACTCAGGGGAATTGCATGAGCTTCCTGGAACCGAGTATTAGTAGTACTGGACAGCTGTAGAGATGGACCTGAACATGAGTAAATACCCAAGGCAAAATGAGACTTCTCAGCCCTATAGGGCTGATTCCAAACCCTTAACAAGCTCCCGGGACAGGTGTTACCTGTCTCTCGACCCTGTACACAGTTTGGGGACTTGAAAGAACAGCCCTAATCCTGGGGATGGGGTGAGGGTGGTAATTCTAGGGAGTCAGTTTGCTTATCATGTTGTATATAAGCCTGTGGTTTGAAGGCTCTCATGTAGCATTTCCTCCACCCCCTGCCCTGTTGATCAACATGTGTTCTCTGCTGTCCAGTTTTAACCTTTCTTCCTGGCTGGCATTAAAAGCCACTTGAAAGTACCCAACACTAACTGTACCACACACTGAAGAACTGACATAGATAACTTGCTGCACTTTAAAGGTCTAAATTGGACCTTACCATTCCTCCTTAGCTTCTTGCAATTGTTCCACACCAAGCAGGGTCCATCATTTTTCAAAAGAGCACATATGCACCCTGTGCTTTTAACTCCAACATTATGTTGCATTCAGCATTTGTCTGAACCATATGTATGTTCTTTTTGTCAGAGCGTCATGACGCATTATATGTGGTGGGAGCTTTGGATGAAACACTGGAGCTGCGAGGATTACGATACCACCCAATTGATATTGAGACCTCAGTGTCTCGAGTCCACAGGAGCATTGCTGAATGGTAACTTTCCCCACACTGTTCTCTGCCTCAGCTTTAGTAGTGATTAAAAACTAATCAGGTTAGTCAGCCATTCATTACAAACACCTACCTACAGATAGAACTCCATGGCAAGTTAAGAAAAATAAATTGACTTTTGTCTTGGATGAATGGTCTGCCTTGGCAAAGCCTATTCACAGGAGCCAGAGAAGGCTACAGAGATACYAGGGAACACTGAAGTTTATTCTATGGAACACTGTGGAACTGAGTCTTTTTAAAAATTCTTATTTATTTATGTATTTTTGTGGTGCTGGGGATTAAACCCAGGTCCTTGTGCTTTCAAGGCAAGCACTCTACCAACTGAGCTATATTCCCAGCCCAAATTGAGTCCTTTTGAAAGAATAAGCTTTTAATTAGAAGGGACTAGCAGATCATCTGCCTCTAGGAAGTTGGTGTAGTATGGTGGGAAGAATCATGACTTTAAGGTCAAAAGACTTTTTGTGTTGGGTTGGGGGTTACTGGGAATTAAATCCAGGGTCACTTTACTACTGAGCTACATCCCCAGTCTTTTTTGTTTTTTGAGATAGGGTCTCACTGAATTGCTGAGGCTGGCCTTGAACTTGAAATCATACTGTCTCAGCTTCCTGAATAGCTGGGATTACAGGCCTGCAGACTCCACTCTCCATATTGCTTTCTTCATCAGTAAAATACTTTCTTCCACCTCTAATTACCAGCAGGGTCAAATCAGCTTTTGTTCTTAAATTGTTAGTGGGGAGCAAAGTAAAAGAATCAGTGTTATTTTCTCATCCAATTCCCCTCTCACAGCAGGAATTACCCGTTTTTCCTGAAAAAGATCATCCTACCTCATAATGACTTAAAATTCCTTAAAATGAAAACCCTGTGGTTTTTACCTTCACTATACAGAACCCATCCACTGTCTTTTCTACTCATTTAAAAGTCTGCATCCTTCACCAGTTTTTTCCCCTGCTAAATAGCCAGTTTTTCTTTTTCTTTTTTYTTTTTTAAAGAGAGAGAGAGAGAGACAGAGAATTTTTTAATATTTATTTTTTTTAGTTTTCAGCGGACACAACATCTTTGTATGTGGTGCTGAGGATCGAACCCGGGCCGCACGCATGCCAGGCGAGCRCGCTACCGCTTGAGCCACATCCCCAGCCCTAAATAGTCAGTTTTTCTGATGGTGGTTCATGCTTTCCATGTACTACTTTTTCTAAAGATGTCTTGTCAGAATCTCTCCCCAGAATAAGACCTGAATGACACTCTGACCAAGGCAAGAATGTTTTTCAACAAAAAAGTATGTGGAAAGCTATGTGGAAAGTATGCATAGAAACTGTATGCCATGGCTGCATTCAGATTTTAGATGGTTGGCTTTTATTGCAACCAGATAATTGCGTTTAGTTTTCCTTAATGATCTGAACCTCTTTTTAAAAGTTTAACTCTGTATAAACAAGTCAGATCATATGTTCTAACTTAGTAATTCCACTAAAAGGAGTTAATGTCTCCACTGTATCTTACAGCACTTTTACACATAGGGAACACTTGTGTGGGACACTTATTAGCTCATTTGAGGTCAGACAGGCTCTCTTCATGTTCAGTTTAAGAATATTATCTTAGATGGGGCTCAAGTGGTAGCGCACTCATCTGGCATGCGCGAGGCACTGGGTTTGATCCTCAGCACCACATAAAAATAAAATAAGGATATCGTGTCCACCTAAATCTAAAAAATAAGTATTAAAAAAAAAGAATATCATCTTAGAGCTGGACGCAGGAGCATATGCTGTAATTCCATCTACTTGGAAGGTTGAGGCAAGAGCATAACAAGTTCAAGGCTATCTTGGGCAACTTAGACCCTGCCTCAAAATAAAATTTTAAGGGCTGGGGATGTTGAGCTTATCCTCAGAGCACTTGCTTAGCATGTAGGAGGCTATGGGTTCCATACCTAGTATCACAAAAAATAAACAGATAAAATTTAAATTTATTTTTATCTTAGAGCTCTTTTGTTGCAAATACCAGAAACTCTCCTCAAAAAAGTTTAAGTGAAAGAAAAAGCCATACATACATTGACTTAATTTTCTTCGTGATTCTTTGTACCTCTGGCCATCCTAGAATGTTCAAACACATGTGTCCTCAGTTCCAATGACCAGCTACAAACTGTAGTCCTCTCCAATACCCCAGGAGATTTTGGCTCATTTATTAGCTGTGGTCACTGGGTCAAGGTCATGTATTACAAAATGACTTTTGGCCTTCTGGTTGGGATCCGGGAGAGAAAGCAGTTCTCAGAGAAATGGGCATCAGTCTTGGCAGGTACTGTAAAAGATGGTTGGAAATGTAATGGCACATTAACTGAATGTTATTGAAATTTCAGTGCTGTGTTCACGTGGACCAACTTGCTTGTGGTGGTTGTGGAACTGTGCGGCTCTGAACAGGAAGCTCTAGATCTGGTTCCTTTAGTGACCAATGTGGTCCTAGAAGAGCATTACCTCATCGTTGGTGTTGTGGTTGTGGTGGACCCAGGTGTCATCCCAATCAACTCCAGAGGAGAGAAGCAGAGGATGCACCTCCGTGACAGCTTCCTGGCTGACCAGTTAGACCCCATCTATGTGGCTTACAACATGTAGCTATCCTTCTAGGGGCTGCCAAGGCCATCCCAAGAATCAGAAAGACTGAAGACCCATGGCTAGGAGCTACTTTCTAAATGATGTGAAATAAGCTGAGATGCCTGCATTATATCCTTCATCTCATCCTGTGGAATTCTGCAATCATACAATACACAGGAAAGGGGAATTCTCTGGTGGCAAATGAAAAAAATGTTAACAGTCTATTAGACCTTAGCTTTGACCAGCGTGAACAACACGTAACTAAAGCAATTATTTGCATGTTGCATTTTTTCATCTGTTGTACATATTTTCGTATTTTTACCTAATGCCATTTTAGAATTTTTTTAAGGGAGTTTAATGAATTCACATGAAGGGGTAGTCTGAATTATACAGCTACCCGCTCTGTACTGTATTTTGCTATTTTCCCTTAGCTAGATATTTTGTGGGTTTTATTAACATAAAATTACTCAGCTTAACTTTCAGTCAGCTCATAAGCAAATCAGTTAACCCACAGAATATGAGAATTACTTATATATATACATATATATGTAATTCTTCACTGTAAAACATTTTGATCAGTGTTTTAAACATGTAAATAAGAATACTTATAATTCAGCTGAACAATTGAAAAATTGACACATATAATTACAGCAACCAAAGTAGAAACATTTCTACTTTGAGAGAATTCCAATATTCTCTTGATGTAGTGATATTGATTAGGTGACTAAAAAGTGCAAATTGCAAGTTTTGCTGCACATTGTTCTGTCTTTGTTGGCTGGTGTATTTTATAAACTAAATCTGCCTATGTTTGTTTTTAAAGCTTGCATTCCCAATGTCAGCTTAAGCTTCTAAGGATTCAGTCTGTATGAGCTGAAAATCTCCATTTAAATCGAAATTTAAGAAAAAGCAAGAATATATCAGATCCTACCTATTCAAAGGAACCACAGTAATTGATTCTGGCCCTGGTGTTGGAACTATCTTTCACAGTGAGTGACTACAGAATTTAGAATATCCTCTTTTTCTAGGCCCTTTAATCTGCCTACAGTTCATACATAGAGCTTTTGCTTTCTGAAAATTGAGGATTGCTCTCTGTCCTTTCAGTTCATAAGGGAAAAGCATTTAAAACCAAGAATAATAGACTGGGAGGGCAGTAGGATCAGTGATCACATGGAACCGTGAGGCCACGTTACTGCACATCTCAAAACTGACCAGATTGCTTTGCCAGAATAGCCAGGCTTATGCTGAAATAGGGGAAGTCTGATGTATGCAGGAAACTCTTATGAAATAACTGTTGTCCAGGCCAAGCAGACTGAGTGTGAAACTGAGTTTGGCCTCTGGCTCAGTTTCCTTACTTTGGTCTGATAGTTCATGTATTTGAATATAGTTAAATTTTATTATTTTTTTCTTACAGAAATATTTTTTAAAATTAACCTCAAAAGTGAAAAGAATTAACTTGTTAAATCAGAACGGTTCTCTTTGAACCATTCTGGTCTATTGTGTAAATATTTATTTAGACTATTTTAATAATACATATTATTTACCCCACTGTAACATCATGTAAACTAAATGTGTTTTTAAACAATTTGTAAGACTTGTAATTACCCTGAAAATAAGGTTTATAAAGCAAAGACCAGACCCTTCACTAGGGCAGCACTCCCAGGCTGCCTTTACGTCTCATGACTCAAAGCCACTTTATGATGGACTCCCGTTTACACAGTTATTTTTCTCCCAGCTCATTCTCCATAGAGGGAAAACCTCAAGATACTTTCCAGTTCAGATCTCTCTTTCAGTGTTTCAGAGGGAATTAATTTACATGGGGGAGGTTCTAGCATGTACAGAAAAGAAGCATTTCCACTGGGGCAAATGCAAAATCCCAGCGTCTAGCAATGGTTTGGTTTGCAGAGAAAATTACCTGCTTATTTGAAATGTAACATTCTTAAAATAATTTTTAATGACTAACAAAAGCAGGGGAGGCTGAGTATTAATTAGTTCTATTCTCCACAATCTCTCAATTGTAAGAAGCTATAAGCAGTCTCTTTCCTGCGGGTTGGTTTATTATTCTTACAAACATGAATAGGGTATCAGCATCTAGCCACACTGTCAACTATAAATGTATTGTGAGCCACATCTGTAAATTTATGATTTTCTAGTCACCATATTTTAAAAAATAGGTGATATTGATTTTAATATATTTAACCCAACATATCAAAAATACTTTTTGAATGTGAAACAGTATGAAAATTATTAGATGTTTTACTTTTTTCATACTAAGTATTTAAAATCCAGCGTGTATTAAACACATCTCGATTTGGACTAGTCATATTTCAATGCTTCAGTAGCCAAATGTTAGGCTAGTGGCTACTGTATTGGGCAGCACAGACCTATATTTATTCCTTCAAGTTCAGTATTCCATTCATCTCAGAGTATGGCCAACTCCCATTCATTTCAGGCTGATAATCTAGTTTTGTCAATCCTCAAGCCTCCATTTATCTTTATTTCTTTTCCTTGCTGATGTGTAGCTGCTTTACTAATTTCTTGCATATCCCCCAGAGTGGACTGTGCTAGTGGAAGAAAGAAAACTGAGAGCTGTCCTTGGGGAACCTCATGACTAACTCTGGGAAAGTGTTCCTAGGATGAAAAAAGAGTCCAATCTTAGCCTCCATGGTGTTTGTGGAGTCATCTGCAGATTTAAGGTCTATCTTAAGGTTTATTGCAGACTTGAGTTTAATTTTTTTTTTTCTTGATAACACAGTGCTCTTTTTCTTTCCACATTAAGTGGAACTTTTGTGGTAGAACTGACTCTTAAAGCATGCCTAAAAGGCCATTACTGATAAAATAAACAACAACCCCCAACCTTCCCACAGCCTTTCCAGTCCTCAGAAACATATTCTGTCTGGGTTTTTATGCTGTGGGGGTGGAGGCAACACTTAGCAGTATACCCTCATCTTAAGAGAAATCTTTTGGTCTTAAAGTTTCAGAACCTCTTCCTGGTTCTCAGCAGAAGCAACTGAAAAGTTCTTAGAACTAGTGATACAAGCTATCTTGTGCATCAGTGAGACCCTGGAATGCCCATCTCACTAATTGGCATCAGTGAACCCATATAGTCTTTTAATTCTTGCTGCACAAGGGCCCAGTTCTCCCCAGTACACAGCTCTCTTTTCTCCTGCAGTTGTGTTGCCTGGGGCTGTTTAGGGACCATTGCCTCAGTTGGTCTGGTGTGTCTCCTTTAGTCCCTGGGACAGTGTTGGCTTAATGCTTTCCTTGAATCAACAAAGGGCCTGAGGCCTTACATTTGTGTTAAGGTCTCTCCCCAGGAACGGTGCTCAATATCTTGGCCAAATAAATTACTTTTCTTGAATATCCAGGAATCCTTCAGACTAAAGCAAGAGGAGTTATCACCTCACCCTCAAAACTCCAACATGATCTATGCCTTAGTGTTATTTTTGTTGTCTGCTTTGATGTAAAATCAGGAGTGTTTGGAGCAAGAAGCTGCAGTACTCCAAATACACAATAGGCCTTTTCTTTACCATTCATACCTTTCTGGTTTAGGTATATATATATAGATGGGCCATGTTATTTGTCCAGAGAAAGAGATTGTAAAGATATAAGAATAATTTTTTAGTCCTAAATGCTGTTCTGTTTACTTTCTGTCAATATATTTACCTGTGTCAAATTCAAACTATAGTACTGTGTAATTATGTATAAAAWTTTTTTTATTTATTTGAAATTAGACTAGATATACATTTTTAAAATTTAACATCTGGCTGGACAGTGTTCTATTAACTCATCAAATGTGTTTTCCTTTGTCTTGTGTTAATAAATATTGATGCCTGATTGTGTTTAATCCTTCATGCATTCGGTGGGGGCTAGGGAATTCAGAGAATTTTGTGTGGGAGTGTGTCTATCTATATGCCTAGCTATATCCCCAACCAGGAATTGGTAGATTTTACATTGAAGTTCGGGCAGTAAGACGCAACAGTAGCTGGAGTTATGTAAGAAACACAGATAACCAAACTCAAATGTGATTGAAGGAAGTGAGGTTAAGGAACAACTATGTCATTTGAAAAATTGAGGAGCTTCAGAGCTTTTTTTTTTTTTTTTTGGTAGTGAAATCAGGGGTATTTTGCCACTATACTACATCCCCAGCCCTTTATTATTTTTATTTATTTGTTTGTTTATTTTGAGAAATGATCTTAATAATTTGCTGAGGGTCTCACTGAATTACTAAGACTAGTCTCAAACTTGAGATCCTCCTGCCTCAGCCTTTCCAGTCACCAGTATTACAGACATGCACCTCTGTGAAGTTTGTTGTAGGACTTTATTTTTTTTGTGGTTCTGGGGATTGAACCCAGGGCATTGTGCATGCAAGGCAAGCACTCTACCAACTGAACTAGCCCTGTTGTAGGACTTTTTAAAAGTAATGATTATACTTCAGTTTTCTTTTACCTACATGGCATTTGGTAGTTTTAAACTTTGGATCATAAGCTTGAATTCTTTTTTTTAAATATTCTTTTAGTTGTAGATGGGCATGATACCTTTATTTATTTTTACACAGTGCTAAGGATCAAACCCAGTGCCTCACACATACCAGACAACTGCTCTACCACTGATCCACAATCCCAGCCCAGTAAGTTTGTTTTTTATAATCTATAATAGGGCTGGATGTCAGCTTCTCCTAAAAATTTGCTCTTTTTTTCCCCTGGTTTTAGAAAACCTAATGGGAGTACATCAAATTGAGCATGTTCTCAGATACTGAAGCTGGTCCTTGAATTAGGGTCTAAGTAACCAGGTACAGTGGTACATGCCTGTAATCCCAGAAAGTCAGGTGGACAAGGCAGAAGGATCACAAGTTGAAAGCCAGCCTGAGCAATTTACTAAGACCCTGACTCAAAAAGGACTGGGAATATAGCTCAGTGGTAGAATGGGTTCACATCCCAGTACCAAAAAAAAAAAAAAAAAAAAAAGAATCACAGTCCAAGGTATTTTGGCAGGTAGAACATTTTTTTTTTCACTTAACAGGCATTTATTAAGTGCCCATTCACTAAGCACAAGGCACTGTGTCAACAGCTAAAGCAAGAGAAAAATATCAAGTCGCAGGCTGGGGATGTGGCTCAGTGGTAGAGAGCTCGCCTTGCATGTGTGAGGCGATCCTCATGTGGTTTGATCCTCAGCACCACATAAAAATAAAATGAAGATATTGTGTTCACCTAAAGCTAAAATATAAATATTTTTTGAAGATCCTTTAAAAACAAAATCAAGTCACTGCCTTCAAGGAGATACAGGAAAATAATCACAATATGATGTAGTATATATGATAAAAGTGAGAGCAGAGGTGGACTGTGTGAACGGGTAGAATCCAGTGACGAGGGGAAATAGTGAGGAATAGCATGCTGCAGGAGGTTCACATCTGAACTGAGTTTTGAAGGATGAGATAGCCAGATGCCATGTTTTTTTGTTGTTGTTTTGTGCCAGGGATTGAACCCACTGAATCACTAACCCATATCCCTAGCACTTTTTTGTATTTAGAGACAGGATGTCATTGAGTTGCTTAGGGCCACCCTTTTGCTGAAGCTGGCTTTGATCCTCCTGCCTCAAGTCTCCCAAGTTGCTGGGATATAGACGTGTAMCACTGCGCCTGACCTCAGATACCGTTTTTCACTACATAATTGTTGCAGATTCTATGCCAAACTTTTTTTGAAAACATGAAGCAGCTTTTTTTTTCGGTCCTCCCTGAACTGGGGGCTTAACCCAGTGGCACTCTTCTGCTGAGCTGCATACATCCTCAATCATGCACCAAATTACATGAAAAAAGTACTTCAGGACATTGAATTCTGCATAGATTCCAACACAACAATACTGGGAGATTTCAATACACTCTTATCACCAATAGACAGGTCATCAATAAAATCAATAAAGATATCTCCAACCAAAACAACACTATAAATCAAATGGACCTAAGGGACATCTACAGAATATTCCACCTCAAAACAGCTGAATTCATCGTCTCAGCTGAATATGGAACTTTTTCCAAAATAGATCATATTCTAGGCCACAAAGCAATTCTTAGCAAATAAAAGAAAATCGATATAATATCATGTATCCGATCAGGTCCTAATGGAATTATAATAGAAATCAACAGCAAGAGAAATAATAGAAACAACATAAATACAGAGAAATCAAGCAATACTCTCTCAATGAAGAATGTATCACAGAAGAAAGTGAAAATAGAAATTAAGAAATTCTTAGAAATGAATAAGAACAAAGATATAGCATATTGAAATCACTGGCACAGTGTGAAAGAAGTTTGAATTAGAAAATTTATAGCACTGAGTGCCTACATTAAAAAATGAGTGAGGTCCTAAATAAATAAGCTTTTGCTCCATCTCAAGGTCCTAGAAAAAGAACAAACTAATCCCAACCAGTAGAAGACAAGGAAATAATTAAGATAAGAGCTCAAATCGATGAAATTGAGAATAAGAAAAACTATAGTGAGGATCAATGCAATGAAGAGTTGGTTCTCTGAAAAGATAAAAAGAATGACAAACCCTTAGGCAAACTGACCAAAAGAAAGAGAAGGAGCAAATCAAAACAGATCAGAAATAAAAGAGGAGATATCACCACAGAACTTTCTGAAATCAGAGGATTATCAGAACTTATTTTGAAAATTGATACTCTAATAAACTTGAAAACCTGGAAGATAATGACAGATTTCTAGACACATATGACCTGCCCATATTGAATCAGGAAGATACAGAAAACCTAAACAGAATAGAAATTTAAACAGCAATTAAAAGAATCCCAAAAAGAAAAGTCTAGAAACTGATGGATTCTCAGCTGAATTCTACCAGACTTTACAGAACTTAACACCAGTCTTTCTCGAATTAGTCCATGAAACTGAAAGAGAGGGAATGCTCCCAAATACACTTTATAAAGTCAGTATAATCCTGATAATAAAACCAAAGATGCATCAAGGAAAGAAAACTACAGATTATATACACACACACACACACACACACACACACACACACACATGTATGTGTGTATATATGTAGATATATATGAAAAAATATGTGAAGATATATAAAAGATAAAAAGAAAACCAGCAAAGGGAGGATCTACACTAAAGGGATATTCAACAAAAGGAAAAACTACATCAAATTAAAAACCAGAAATAAATCAAAATGACAGGGTATTATATTTCAATAATAGCCTTGAATGTTAATGTCCTAAACTCATCAATCAAAAGGACTGGCAGACTGGATTAAAAAGCAAGGCCCAATAATATGCTATCTTCAAGAGACTCACCTCATGGGAAAAGACATCTACAGGCTGAAGGTGAAAGGATGGGAAAAAAAAAATATTACTCATATGGATTGTTTAAACAAGCAGGGTTTTCCATCATCTCTGATAAAGTAGACTTCAAGCCAAAGTTAATTAGAAGAGACAAAAAGGACATTTCATACTTCTTAAGGGAAGTGTATATCAGCAAGGTATAACAATTGTAAATATTTATGCCCCAAACAATGGCACATCTATGTCCATCAAACAAATCCTTCTCAATTTCAAGAATCAAATAGACCACAACACAATAATACTGGGTGACTTTAACACACCTTTTTCACTACTGGACAGATCTTCCAAACAAAAACTAAATAAACTATAGAACTAAATAATAAAATCAGTAATTTTGACCTAATAGACATATATAGAATACTTCATCCATCAATGAGCGAATATACTTTCTTCTCAGCAGCATATGGCTCCTTCTCTAAAATAGACCAATCTTATGCCACAAAGCATAAGATATTTAAAAAAAAGAGATAATACCCTGCATTCTATCAGATCACAATGTAATGAAATTAGAAATCAATAAGAAAATACAAAATAGAAGCTACTCTAACAAATGAAGACTAAATAATACACTATTGAATGAAGAATGGATAGTAGAAGTCAAGGATGAAATAAAACAAATTCTTACAGGTAAATGAGAATACTGATACAACATATCAAAATCTCTGGATATGTTGTACTATGAAGGCAGTACTAAGAGGAAAGTTTATTGCATTGAGTGCTTTCATTAAAAGAATAAAAAATCAACAAATAAATGACCTAACACTACATCTCAAAGCCCTAGAGGGGAAAAAAAAAAAARAACAAATCAACACCAAAAACAGAAGACAGGAAATAATTTAAATCAGAGCTGAAATTAAAGAAATCAAAACAAAAGAATTTGAAAAATTGACAAAACAAAAAGTTGCCTCTTTGAAAAAATAAATAAAATAGATAAACCCCTGATCATGTTAATGAAGAGAAAAAGACAGAAAACTCAAATTACTAAAATACAAGATGAAGAAGGAAGTATCATAATGGACCTGTCTGAAATACAGAAGATAATTAGAAACTATTTTGAAGATTTATACTCCAATAAAATAGAAAATATTGAAGACATCGGCAAATTTCTAGAGACATATGACCTACCCAGACTAAATGAGGAGATCACACATGATTTAAACAGGTCAATTTCGAGTAATGAAATAGAAAATGCCATCAAAAGCCTCTCAACAAAGAAAAGCCCAGGACCAGATTCTCAGCCAAGTTCTACAAGACTTTCACAGAAGAATTAACACCAATGCTCCTCAAAGTATTCCATGAAATAGAAAAAGAGGGAACCCTCCCAACTCATTATCTGAGGCTAATATTACCCTGATAACAAAACCAGACAAAGTCACATCAAGGAAAGAAAACTTCAGACCAATATACCTGATGAACATAGATGCAAAAATTCTCAATAAAATTCTGGCAAATTGGGCTGGGTTGTGGCTCAGCAGTAGAGTGCTTGCCCAGCATGTGTGAGGCCCTGGATTCAAACGTCAGCACCATAAATAAATAAATAAAATAAAGGTATTGTGTCCAACTAAATATTACAAAAAAAGGGCTGGGGATGTAGCTCAAGCGGTAGCGCGCTCGCCTGGCATGCGTGCGGCCCGGGGTTCGATCCTCAGCACCACATACCAACAAAGATGTTGTGTCCGCCGAGAACTAAAAAATAAATATTAAAAATTCTCTCTCTCTCTCTCTCCTCTCTCACTCTCTCTTTAAAAAAAAATAAAAAAAAAGAAAAAATGAAAAAAAAATAAAAAAAAATAAAAAAATAAATATTACAAAAAAAATCTGGCTGGGGTTGTGGCTTAGTGGTAGAGTGCTTGCCTAGCACATGTGATGCCCTGGGTTCAAGTCTCAGCACCACATTAAATAAATAAATAAAGCTATTGTGTCCAACTACAACTAAAAAATAAATATTTTTCAAAAATTCTGGCAAATTGCACACAAAAACCTATTAAAAATATAGTTTACCATGATCAAGTGGGGTTCATCCCAGGATGCAGGGTTGGTTCAACAAATGGAAATCAATAAACATAATTCATCATACTAATAGACTTTAAAACAAGAATTATATGATCATCTCAATAGATGCAGAAAAAGCTTCTGACAAAATACAGCACATCTTCATGTTCAAAACACTAGAAAAACTAGGGATAGTAGGAACACACCTCAACATTGTAAAAGCTATATAATGCTAAACCCAAGGCCAGATTCATTCTAAATGGAGAAAACTTGAAAGCATTCACTGTAAAAACTGGAACAAGACAAGGATGTCCTCTTTTCACCACTTCTATTCAACATCATCCTTGAAACTCTAACCAGAGCAATTAGAAGAAAGAAATTAAAGGGATACAAATAGGTAAAGAGGAACTCAAACTATCACTATTTGCTGATGACATGATTCTATATCTAGAAGATCCAAAAAATTCCACCAGAAAACTTCTAGAACTAATAAATAATTCAGCAAAGTAGCAGGATATAAAAATCAACACCCAGAAAGTCAAAACACATTCCTATACATCAGTAATGAATCCACTGAAAGAGAAATTAGAAAAACTACTCCATTCACAATAGTCTCAAAAAATAAAATAAAGTACTTGGGAATCAATTTAACAAAAGAGGTGAAAGACCTCTACAATGAAAACTACAGAACACTAAAGAAAGAAATTGAAGAAAACCTCGGAAGATGAAAAGATCTCCCATGCTCCTGGATAGACGGAATTGATATTATCAAAATGGCCATACATATGTTATACATATATAATGCAATTCCTATAAAAATCCCAATAACATTCTTCATAGGAAGATAAAAAGCAACCATGAAATTCATTTGGAAAAATAAGAGACCTAGAATAGAATAGCCAAAGCAATCCTTAGCCCCCCCCCCCAAAAAAAAGTGATGCAGGAGGCATCACAATCCAGACCTTAAACTATACTATAGAGATATAATAACAAAAACAGCATGGTATTGGCACCAAATG